TTCCTGTTCTCTTGTTGTTACCTTTCTTGTTTTTTACTGTGAAGTTGTTACTTTGTTGTGCTTCTCGTGTCCTCCCTACAAGGTTTGGACTGGTGCAGCTTATTTTGTATTTCTTACGCATTATAAACTGATTAAAAAGATTTATTAAAAAAAGAAATAATTGTGATACTCAAACATACCGGTCTGTAAGTTAAGGTTAAGTGATTTTTCCCACAGTTGCCATGTTTAAAAGGCAATTCATATAGTTCACTGACATACTTGCAGTTAGAGTTGATACCTCACACCTGAATCCAGAGGCTGACAGCTATAGAATGTCTAGCAGCCTCAGCGTTAGGATCAAGGTAGAATATCTCCAGAACTCATCTCAGGCTGAGACTGCATGCTTCGGTGCACAGATGACTGAGAAAGTGAATTCATTTCAGCTTTGCCTGAGATAAAAGAAATGAAAACCTCAGTGGATATTTCTTTAGTTATACTTCTGCTGTGAGGCACATTAAGGAAATGACAGATGCAGGAAACTGAAGTAGGTAGGTAAGATGATATTTGGAAACTATGAGCGTACCCAACATGAGTTAAATGCACTCAACTGTGTATATACTTTATGTACCAATGTATGATTACAATGTAACTGTCATGACTACAGTGCAAACACCTTCATAGCAGGACTACTGAGAAGACATATGAGTGATAGATACTTGTGCATCCTGTGTTTGTGCTTGGCAGTGTTGGCTTGTGCTATTACATTAAATCAAGGTGAGGGAAGCTTTGGAAGAAACCTGGAGAACAAGGGCTGCAAGTCCACAATGAAACCACATCCCACATTTACTACCATGTAATAAAAAGCAAAGATACCCACTCTCTGCCCTTTAATCCCATCAACAGCCATCAAATGCTTGTACATCATGCCTGTGTGTGTAGGCCTAACCCAAATGTTTTGCCTCAGCTTGCAAATGTTTCCATGCTTTCACTATGAATCACTCAGGCAAATGACTTTGCCATTAAGATACGAATAGGTGTAAGATATTTATAATTTTTGCTGGGTTATTCAAAAATTGTTAACAAAGTATGGCACGGATTTAAGCTCAAAGACATCTACCATACACTATCCATATGAGAGGGAAAAAGAGGAAACTGTGCATAATGGTTTGAATTTTTAGGTCTATTCAGCTACTTTTGTGATTCACACATCTTTGCCATACTTTATACTTCACAGTAAAATGATTACACTATTTCCTTGAAAATGTCCCTGCTCCCTCTTTGGACAGAGCTGATAATGCAATTATTTGTCTAGACCAGGGGTAGGCACTCAAGCTGTTGTGGAGTGCTGAGGTTGCCCACCCTGGCTGAGACGTTTGCAAGCAGGTAGACGTAATCACTTCCACTAGAGAGCCAGCAGTTGGGAGTGAAAACATAATCAAATGCCTGTAGTTTGTGTACATGCTGGTACTGGCACTGGTGTATTACACATATCGGTGGCAGTGAAAGGGTTAAACTATATGTAATGCCCCCACTTTGTTTTTTCTCCGTCATGTATAGAATGCAGAATGGTTTAAAAAGTCTTCAGATACATTTTAAATGTGTTAATACTACTTAACAATTAATAAAATTCACATCAACATAGTAAAGATTTTTTTTTAAATTTGGGCCAATTGGCTCAATGTAATGGACCCTACCCCATGTGTGATGAAACAGATTCGAATTATTGGGTAGATACATTTTAGATTTCCTCAGCCCTGTCATACAAATATATTTTTGTACTTGTTCACAAATTCTTCATAATAAGGAGTTAAAAGGAACGGCTGTGGACAATTGAAGAAAAAGAGTTTTCTGTATTAAACCCAAAATAAAATAAAATTTAAAAAATACAAAAACATTAGTTATGTAATTAAAACTTTGCATGAAATGTTTCAAATTACTTCCACCTCATAGTAAGTACTATTCCTGCTAAACTAAATAAGTAGTATGACTTTGCCTGCATAGTGAACAAGCAAAACCCCTTCCTGTGAAAAATACCTTAGGGCATGTATAAAAGATGGAACAAATGGAAACCCACCAGCTTCCAAGTGTCTTTACAGTCCAGGTCTTAAAATAAGTTATAGAAAATGATTGGTTGCTATGACAGCACAACATTTTTACACTTAGCACACTTTGCATATATCACGCCCTGGTGGATCCATGGAGCTCTAATGGTCAGTCATAGAAATACAAAATTAAAGAGGACCTCCAAACACAAAATGCCCTGGTGCTTGCAGCACTGCATGCTGATATGAAAAGATCCCAAAGTTCTATTTTTATTAAAAGTTTTTTTGTATTTACCTTTTATTGATATTCGACTTCTGTGTTTCCCAAGACACTGGTGATGTAGCCTGGCCTCACAGATGCACCCTTGGAAGACTACGTCACCAATGCCTTCTGGGCAAATGTAAAGAAAGACAAAAACTTTTTCAAGAGATTTCCTGAAATCTCACAAGATTTAACAAATGAGAGATCTCGATTATACAGCTCAAGTGTGGGAGCTGGCGCCAACGACATCAGTGAGCCAGCACACAAAATGTGGAAGAAGAAGCCAGCCACGGATGACACCAGCTTTCAACATGTCAGCACAATTTTGTGGCAAGAAATAATATGTATTTAGTTTTTCTTATTGATCCTGTGATACTGGTGCTTTCATATAAGGAGGGGGGTGTTAAAGCACCTATCATCCTCTTCAGAATTTCATAGCTGGGCAGGTCTAAATCAGGAACAACAAAGCTCTCCATCTATAATATTTTCTTCCTGTGATTTAAATGTCCATTATGTTGATGGAGAGATGCGGTTGGCCCTTAGACAGCAGCTGATTGTTAAGCAGGACAGGGCAAGTATAATTTATGAGGTCAGCTAATCTGCGCATTAAATCCCTCTCAGCTTTAAAGTCAAAGTGTGTTAATTTTATGTAGTGATCACATTATTGTCATTAGAAGCCATATAACAAATGTAGTTTGGACCAGGGTCTCACTGTGATGGTCAGTTGAGGTAAGCATACACACCTGTAGTCTTTGTTTTCAATGTAACACACCGCACACAGTGTTAACATTGTGGTGAATTATATACAGGTGAAACTCGAATAATTAGAATATCGTGCAAAAGTAATTGCAGTAAGTGCTGCAAAAGGGGCCCAAACCAAGTACTGAGTACATACGCATGCTTGTACTTTTCAGAGGTCCGATATTGTTCTATGTACAATCCTTGTTTTATTGATTGCATGTAATAATCTACTTTTTTGAGGTTGTGGATTTGGGGTTCTTGGGGTTTTCATGAGCTGTAAGCCATAATCATCACAATTATGACAAATCACGGCTTGAACTATCTTGCTTTGCATGTAATAAGTCTATCTCATATATTAGTTTCACCTTTTAAGTTGCATTAGTGAAATAAATGAACTTTGCACAATATTCAACTTGGTCTGAGTAAGCAAACTGCATGGTTGACGTGAAAATGATTCCAAAGATGTGTAAACAGAGATAAACCATTGTGCTAGATCTTACTTATGTGCAGATGATTAATGGGCTTTGTTCATGAACTGTTTTACAATGAACAGCGTGTCACTAAAGAACTTTAACTTATTTCTACAAGTCATGCACAGGAAGAGAACATTTACCCCCAAAAAAACCACCAAGAGGTCTCTTGAAATGTGTGTGTTTAACATTGTAAACAGCAGATTGTTGACTCATGACTGGAATGCCAGGGACACTGGTATTTGTAGGCTGGCTGTGTAGTGTCCAAAACTAATAACAATGGGTTTGTCTTTGCTATTGGTATGCTCCATCTGTAAAGTCAAGACAAAGTTTTTTCAAGTAGAACTGGTTGGTAGCATGAATGTTCTTTTTAGGGTGAACCATACATGTCCCAATAATTGAAATACATGTTATAAGTTGCAAAGTCTGAACATTTTTCTAGCTAGACATTGTTCCTCCTTTTCAGCTCTAAAATACGGGGTAATTTACCTCCAAGAGTACTATCTGCATGGAGTTTTTCTGCCCATGTTTATGTGGGTATGCTGCAGTTGATCTGATACTTATGGCTGACTTGGCTTTCAACCCAATTGGGCCCCACTGTGTAAAGCTGTAGTGAGGACATTAGATTGCAAACTGATTCAGGGGCAGTGCTGATGTGGTGGCTTTACGTTATCTATATGATCGCAGATATTTTGGTGTATTTACTAAACTGTATGCATTATTTTTTTAACTTTTGTAAAGAATTATCCCACAATGAGTTTATTTCTGCATGATTAATAGGATTTCCCCATTGCACACCATACCAATCTAATACCTCATGATGGGTGCCAAAGCAACGTGTGGATGGCACCACAATGGAGCCAATAGATACATATGTTACCAGCATACCTCAGGTATTTTCATTGGAAGCCACCTTTATTGATATCCAAACATCATATCAAAAATAAAATAGCAAATTTTCAGTTATTGACATGATGATTGGATGTCAATAAACGAGATTTCCAATGATATGCTGGTAACATATTTCTCTATCTCTGCATGATATCGGTATGTAAAGTCTTTATTTCTCATGATGGATATACCACATAGAAACTCACAGGGTCAAAAGTCTACAATAATTTAGGGACAGAATGACAGACGGATCAGCGCAATCATTTTTATATTAAATACATGCCAAAAAAGGCAATAGTATAACATACTGTGCCGCCCCAACGGGGCATAGAATATGAGATGCATAGCCTCAGTTAATATTAGCATTGTTTTAGATAGAGTTATTATAGTGTGTTTTTGCCTAACTATTTTCCCCATAGCAAATCCATGTCTTATCCTATGCTGCCATCTAGTGGCCTTTGTGATATCACACATGTCTTTTCTGTATTTCTGTTCCCCATGTGACGACATATTTCCAGTCTATGTATGCCCCTCCCTTCTTCCTGTGTGCAGTACTTCCTGTGTCATGGCCACAGTTAAGAGCCACATGTAACAAGGACACACATGTGATCTGCACAGTACGTAGGAAAGGCATCATTTTCTGACCGCACAATACTATCACCGTTCAACTGCTGTTCCTATCATCTGCTGTAACCCTGATGTTAAAGAATAAACACCTCTTTTGAATGAATCGGTATTGACGAGTTCAGCTATCTGACGAGGATTGTCCGCAGTGAGTATATCTGCTTATACAGGCCAGGCATAGAGGTCTCAGCAAGGGATATATTTCGCTATCACAACGATCGGAGTCAGAATACATACATTTGACAAATTCCAGTAATCCAAGCTATATACTGTGGTTATGAAAACTCTATATTTAAAGGTAAAAGATACCAAATAATAACAAAAATACTGCATGCATTATGCTTTAATAAATAGATCATCTACATGCATTAGGTTAATTATAGAGCAAATACAAACGCACTTTCACAGTGCTCATCTTCACACAGATATTTAACATAATGCAGAATATTATATGTGGTCACCTTGTAGGGTCCTATGCTGTTTGCTGCCATGTCACTGTCCTGCCAGCCTGGCTGCCTAGTAGTGGGAATGTATAGAGAGCTGTGAGAGTAGCCTATAGTTGGGTTGGTGGACTGTGGACAGCCGGAAGAGGAACATCAGTTGAACAAAGAGAGGATGTAAAGCCTGGACTATGTGAGTAACCTGTGTTTGGGTTTGTCAGGTGACACACTTATTTCCTGGTTCAGTCATTCAGGTTCATATGTCACCCTTCCATCTCCAACCTGCTTATTGAACAGTGAGTCAACATCTGGAAAACAACAGTAGAAACACTAAACGTGACTGAAGTAGCAGTACTGCTAAACCCAGAAGTAGCAGGGTAATCTTATTGGCTAATAGAGATAAGGATGCTTGACATATATATTTGAACTGTATGCCTGGAGCTCTACTAAAACAAAGAAGCTTAAAGAAGAACTCCAGGATTTTCAAAGTTAACCCTAGCAGTGTGGTTACCCCCACACTGCAAGGGTTGACTGCTCGTTTTGGTCTAGGGGTACAAATAAAGAAAATAAACTTACCTGATCCTCGATCCCACCTGGCTGCTAGACTGGTCCTCACAGCCTCCCCCAGGCTCCGGTGGTCTAAGCCCTGGTGACATTATCATGTCTATGCAAGGTCCATTTACTTGCATTAGACATGAACAGGGGGCGAGAGGGGTGAGCAGTCACTGCCACAGAACCGAGGTCAGGTGATTTTATGTTCTGTTCCCCCGAGTGCAAGGGTTAACTTTTCAAAATCCTGGAGATCTGCTTTAAATACAGCAGGGGGGGGGGGGGGGGATTTTGTTTTCTGGATAGGTTCTGAGAAAATTATATATCAGGAGTCTCAAACTCAATCACTTGGGGGCCACTGGACACATTTTTTTCTCCGATGGGGGCCGCTTGCCAAATTTCATACTTCACACACACATCAAAATACACACAAATGGAAATATGCACAAGCCCCCACAACCAGAAATACACACACTAATGTATACACAACAAGGCCACATTCACACCTGTACGTTTAGGTGCGATTAGGGATTCCTGCAGCAGGAATCCCTAATGTGGCGTTTACATGCGGCAGCTGTCACCCATTAAAGTTAATGATCAAATTAATGATCAGGTGACAGCCGCTGCATATAAACGTCTGCACACCGCATGTAATGGTATGTGTTATGATTACATGTGGTTATAGGGTTGCCACCTTTTCTTCAAGCCAAACCCGAACACTATAGCGCTTTGCGGCAATTTTTTTGTAAAGTATACACTATGCATGTATTTTGTAAATAAATGACATTGGAGTTAATCACAACTTGCCAGTGTGCCGCAGGTCCCCACATATGCATTCTGTAGATAAGTGTACAAAGCAGTACCCATATACCTTGCCGCACTTCTTACCAGATATACCAAAAGTAACGGGTGCTGGTAATGACTGCGGATGGCGCGGCTCACAACAGAACAATACAGATGTCACCGGCACACCGGCACCAAGATCCCATGTTACTGCAAATCCATTTTATTGATAGTTGTCATTCTGGGATGGCCGGGTCCCCTTCATCAGGCTCAGAAATTATATTCTATTATGTCCATATAAAAGTTGTAGCCCTTTTATGTAATGTAATTTCTGAGCCTGAAGGGGACCCGGCCCAGCCCAGAAAGCGCTTGTCGTTTGAATGACAACTATCAATAGAATGGATTTGCAGTAACATGGGATCTTGGTACCGGTGACATCTGTTTTGGAGTTCAGATATGTACTATGGCACATAAAAGATGCTCACACAAAAAAATGTCACAGGTTACTTGTGGCATTTTTTTATGGGGGCACGTTTTATGGTCTATACAAGCCCCCCCCCTTTTCACTTGATATTTAACAGTATAATATAATATATATATAAGCGTCCGCCGCAAGATATGCTAGTATGCGGCATTGTATCGTGTTGAATGATGTGCCCGGGCGGGACGTGGGCACAGACCCGGGCACATGTTTGCAAACCCGTACTGCCCGGGTGAAACCCGGACGGGTGGCAACCCTATGTGGTTAGGAATCAAGCATTATCCCTGGATGCACGATCGATGCCTCCAGGAAGAATGATTCCTAACCACATGGCCGGTACTTTGAGACCCT